TGTGTCGTTTGCATCACTGCATGGTACTGTCAGTCATTTAACATTTCTATAAAAAATTCATATATTAACTGTTTAACTTCTTACCATGCACTTTTTCACAGTTAAAACTTTTAACTAAAGCATCAAGCTGGAATTTGCATTCGTCTTCTGTGAACAGTAATGCCCGCCTTCTTTGATTTGACCAACTTAAACATTTTGACATTGACAAGTCTAAAAAAAATTTTACTTTTAAAACTTTTTGTCATCCTAGCAACAAACAGGGCGGTGCGTAATGAAGTGCAGCATCAAGAATACAAAATATTGTGACAATCTGGCCATTTGTAACTATTAGGGGGAACTTCCTATGGCCCTGCTAGAGCCTTTAGTCTTTAAAACGGTCACATGCTGAATTCATCCAGTCAATGATACTGACACCACAAATAAAGATGTTAACCCAGGGTTTAGGAATGTACAGTGTGAAACATGAGCATATGAATACACAGGATTAATTGATAACGTAAAGCAAGAAAACCCAGAATTTTGTTTACCAAGTTTAAGTGTAAAAAGCCCTAAAGGTTTCACATAAACACTGATTGACCGATAATGTCTCAAGTACCATCAGTCATAAGTTCATTCAGACATGGCTGCCACATTTTAAAGTTCAGTTGCTATACTTTCAAATTCTATTGCATATGAAAGTATTAAAAAGACATCCAAAACTGTCATTTTGTGAAGAGAAACTGATAAGATTCATTATGTATTATCACCCTACAGACACAGAACATCTACTACAGTACTACTTCAGAAAGTTAAATTTAGTTAACTGACCCACATTTAGCAAATGACTCTTCATGCTGATCCAGAATGATTTGCATCTTTGAGATGATTGAAGTGAATGTAATTTGATTTCAGTCTCAAGCTGAGCACACAGAGCATCAAATTAAACAGCAGTTTAAGCAGCTTCATCAGGTTCTCAGAGATGAAGAAGAAGCTACAGTCACTGCACTGAGGGAGGAAGAGGAGCAGAAGAAGCACAAGATGAAGGAGATCTACAGACACATCTCAGCTCTTTCACACACAATCAAAGACCTGGAGGAGACGATGAAGGCCAAAGACGTATTCATATTAATCAAGTGGAGGACAAATGCAAAAAAGTGTTAAATATTATGAGATGTATTGCAGGGGTGGAAAGGGGAGGAGATTTTAATTCATTAAAGTGTATATATACGTGTCCCTAATAAGATCTAGAATGGATTATGGGAGTGTGGCATTTGGTTCAGTGGCAAAATCAGTATTAGCAAGGCTGGATAAACTACAGACCCAGGCATTGAGATTATGTCTCGGAGCAATGAGAACATTCCCAAGTGTGTTCACTGCAGGTAGAGGTGAGGGAAATGCCTTTGAACCTACGGCAGAAGCAGTTGCTAGTGAATTACTGGATCAGTCTGCCCGCATGTGGATAGGCATCCAACCAAAAGTTTATTGAAAGATTGTTGGGAAAAAGGTAAAGAAAAAAAATTAAGTTTTGGTTGGACTGGGGATGGTGCAGCAAGAGGCTTGGGAGTGTATGGAAAGGAGTTTGGTAAAACTGTAGTATGGCCACCCTAACTCCAATGTGGATGTTTATTACACCAGTATTGGATTAGGAACTATTACAGATCAAGACAGAAAACAAACATATTTAATAAAGTACCATATGGTATAAGTAGATCATTATTTGCAGATGATGGGGCACTTTGGAAACGTGGGAAAAAATTTGGAATATTAAGAAAATACAGGATGGAATACATCACGTTAAAAAGTGGGGATTGGAATGGGGGTTTAAGTCTTCTGTGGAAAAGTAAAAAATTATGGTTTTCTCTAAAAAGAAAAACAAAGATATTAATCTGAAGTTGTATAGGAATATTCTAGAAAGAGTTGAAAGTTTTCGTTTCTTGGGGGTGTGGTTTGATTCAAGGCTAACATGGAGAATTCATATTAATCAAGTGGAGGACAAATGCAAAAAAGTGTTAAATATTATGAGATGTATTGCAGGGGTGGAAAGGGGAGGAGATTTTAATTCATTAAAGTGTATATATACGTGTCCCTAATAAGATCTAGAATGGATTATGGGAGTGTGGCATTTGGTTCAGTGGCAAAATCAGTATTAGCAAGGCTGGATAAACTACAGACCCAGGCATTGAGATTATGTCTCGGAGCAATGAGAACATCCCCAAGTGTGTTCACTGCAGGTAGAGGTGAGGGAAATGCCTTTGAACCTACGGCAGAAGCAGTTGCTAGTGAATTACTGGATCAGTCTGCCCGCATGTGGATAGGCATCCAACCAAAAGTTTATTGAAAGATTGTTGGAAAAAAGGTAAAGAAAAAAAATTAAGTTTTGGTTGGACTGGGGATGGTGCAGCAAGAGGCTTGGGAGTGTATGGAAAGGAGTTTGGTAAAACTGTAGTATGGCCACCCTAACTCCAATGTGGATGTTTATTACACCAGTATTGGATTAGGAACTATTACAGATCAAGACAGAAAACAAACAAGTGGATTTGATGAATGAATTTGATAAATATGTGAATCAAAAATACACACAATTTAAGCATATTTATACAGATGGATCAAAAGACCCGGTAACAGGAGTTACAGGAGCTGAGGTCGTAGTCCCTAGCCAGAAGAGTGAAATGTGCAGGAGGACATCAGATAACCTAAGTGTATATGCTGTTGAGATGTTTGCTATCTTGATGGTGATAGAATGGATTGAACAGAATAAAGCAAACAGAGCTTTCATTTGTAGTGATTCAGTCTCTGTTCTGAGGAGTCTCAAGTCCGGTATGATTAGGAATCATCAGGAGCTTTTTTATGATATATTGTCTATTTATTCAAGAGTTAAAAATAAATGTTATGAAGTTGTATTAATGTGGGTTCCAGCGCATATGGGTATTCTAGGAAACGGAAAAGTAGATAAAATAGCTAAGCAAGCATTGCAAAAAAAAATATAGATGTGTCTATTAGTCTTTCAAGATCTGAAGGAAAGAGTATTGTATGGGGAAACATAATTAAAGAATGGCAGCAGAGATGGGATCAAGAACTAAAAGGAAGACATCTATATGCATTAAAGGAAAGAGTTGGTATAATGGAAAGTAGAGCCATTTTAGGTAGGTGTGCTCTTAACTTTTATAAAGAATATCTCTTTGGATTTGAGACTTTAGTCTTTGCAACTTTACAGATCTTCTTTATGCACCAAGAGCTTGTAACACTCCAAAGAGAAAGGAAAAATTGAAATCGCATCATATGACCCATTTAACCAGATTAAGAATAGGACCCAGTGAATTAAAAAGTACGCTTTATATGATAGGAAAACACCCAACAGGACTTTGTGATCAGTGCCAAGTGCCTGAAAATGTAGAACATGTGCTTGTGTATTGCACAAAATATAAAATTCAAAGGATGATATTGGTTAAAGACATGGCGGAAATAGGATTAACAGGAATTAAATATTTGATTTGTTTTTTAACTAAGACGGGGCTAATATATGGCAAGAATATGAAAAACATGATACTGTATATGGAAAGTAATTAGCTCCAGAAGATGGCGGTAATGCAACACCAAGGATGCAAACTGCCGTTAAAACCAAAAGAAGAAGAAGAAACGTTTCAGGTAGTGCATGCCTCCATATGAGGACCTGAGGAAATGCATGATTGATGCATTTTGTGCATGAGTGAGGAGCGTGCATGTTTGGTTTTCAAGGAAACTGAATGCATATTGAGAGGCTTTGCTTTGATACCTGCAGATTCACGTGACTCATATGTTGTGTGTGTGGGCAAGAAGCATGTGCATTCAGCTCTCGGGGGAGTTGAATGCGCTCCTTGCGGTTATTTCTTTGTGAATGTAACGTTATCGTATGCATTCGCGGGACTACTGAGAAGGAAGGTAAGAAACCCGGTTCTTCTTTGTTTCACCTTTTACCTGAGATTTTAGACAGCGTTTGCATGAGCGCGTTCACCTCTCGCAGGCTCATAGCGATGCATTCCTGGCAGTGGATTCTGTTCTTGCTTGATACTCGAGAGAATCTAGCGTCTGTACGGAGCGCATTAGGCTCTGAATGCATGCTACGTGATGCAGTCGCAGTGAGATTTCTAGCCTAGCGTCCGTGGTTTGAGTCCTGCTGCTGCCGAAGCAGCTAGCCGGACTGTTCGCTTAGATTGTAGAGGTGTGCACAAATAGTCGAATATTCGATCAGTAATTATTATTCGAAAAATAAAAACACTTCAAATTTTACTACGTGTTGCTTTGCTGGCCGTAAATGCAAAGCACGCAAACTAAAAGTCAGTTATAACTAAATGCACTGGGTGTAACCATGGAACGTGTTAACAAGTTGATTTATTTGATCACATAATGTCGTCTGCCTCCTGAAGTTTGGAATTATTTTGATCAAAATGACCTTTACTAAATGATCTTTCAAAATGGAATTATTTTTGATCAAATGAATCAGTGAAACTGAGTTATCATAATATCACCACCACAATGAGAAATCACATGAAATCCAAACACTAGTGGACTGAGGAAAGACAGCTGTCCATCACTGCATTACGAATGCAGGCAAGCGCAGCTGTGAGCTGAGAAGAGACGTTACTGTATCTAACAGCGATCTGATCTGGAGGCATATGCTTCCTTTAAGTTTCCTCAAGAGAGAGTGGTTTAAGAACAGAAAACACAAAGCGCTGTAAGAAACTTTGCTTAGCACACCCTTATCTTTGTGTCTCCTGAACGTCTGTGTTGTCGCGCATTCCTATTGTTATCAGACTGAGAAGCCAACTTTAACATAGGCCGACTCCAGTGTATGTACGTTCCGTACTGTAATTTGCACTGTCTGCTTTATTTTTCCATTTGCTCTGCTTGAACTTAAATGAT